GCTGCAGCGGCCGCCACGGCTCCACGCGGCGCCGGAGCAGCCCGGCCAGCAGCGCCGCCGCCAGCGGAGGAGCCCACAGGCTCTTGGGGCGGCCTGCGGGCTCAGCRGGCGCCAGCACCGCCTTGCTGCGGCGCCACGGCAGCATGAAGGCTGCCTCGCGCTCCTGGGATCACAGGCGGTGCCAGCCGGCAGACCCCGGGATGCCGCCGCGCGCGGGGAGGCTCCGCTGGGGATCGCTGCTCCTTCCCGTCGCAGGGAGGCTGGGGCAGGGATCGCGGCTCCCACGTCGAGGTGACGCTCCCGTGGGTCTTGCCGTTCCCACGCCGCCGCGCTGCTCTCGTCAGTCCAGCACTGCTGTGACGCTCTAGCGGGTTTCGCGCTTCCCACAACACCGCGATGCTCTAGTGGCTCTCGCTRTTCCCACACCGTAGTGATTCGCCCGTGGAACTCGCTGTTCCCACAGCACTGCAGCGCTCTGCTGGGTCTGGCCAGTCCCACTCTCCCACAGCAGGGTGGTGCTCCCGTGGATCTCACGGTTCCCACGCCACCGCAATGCTCCTGTGGGTCTCACCGTTCCCACGCCACCACGATGCTCCTGTGGGTCTCACTGTTCCCACACCGTGATGCTCCCGTGGGTCTCACCGTTCCCACGCTACCGCAATGCTCCTGTGGGTCTCACCGTTCCCGCACGACCACGATGCTCCCGTGGGTCTCACCGTTCCCACACCATGATGATGCTCCTGCAGGTCTCGTTCCCACTGTTGCGGCGCTCCACGGGTAGCGCAGTTCCCACTGCACTGTAATGTTCCGGTGGGTCTCACCGTTCCCGCACCACAGCGATGCGCTGGCAGCTCCTGCTTTTCCCACGCCGCAGTGCTGCTCCAGCGGCTGTTGCYGTTCCCGCACAGCTATGATGTTCCCGCAATTCCCTCCCCTCCCACGCTGCCGCCACACACAAGCTGCCCCCTGCCCTGCTCCACTCTGGGAGTCCTCCCTGTCCCCCAGGGCTCTCCGGCTCCCCCCCCTTCCAAAAYGCTCCTGGCTCCCTGGCCCAGCACGGGGGCGGGATGCGGATGCTCCGGCGCAGAGCCGCTCCACCGCTCCTGCTGCACCAGCRCTGCCGCCGGGATCAGCCCTCTGCGGGCTGCTCCACCTCTCCGGCACACAGCACCCCCGCTGCGCAGGACCCCCTCTGGACCCCGCTATTACCCCCCCAAAAAAAGAAGTGCAAATTCCACATGGAGCTGCTACCTGCTCAGTTTCCRCTGCCAGAAAATCTCCTCCTCTTTCCCGCAGCTGCAAGCCGTCACGGATGCAGGGCACCTCCGGAGATCTGGTGGCAAAATAATTAAATAAAATGCATGCTTTTCGCGTGATATTTTTGCTTTTTTATTCTTTTAAGCAAGGGAGGCACCTTGGTGTGGGCTGCTTTTCATCCCAGCTCCCAGCATAAGGATGTTTTCAGGAATGGGGGAGCTGTTCTCTTTTCCTGGGAAGCCAGGAATATATATGTTTATATAAGTATATATTATTATTATTATTTGCAAGTGGAAATAATGGATCTTGAAGCTCAATGGGTGTCTCTGGCTATGTCTACGGCCCAGGGCAGCAGCCAAGCTGAAGCCTTTATGCCTTGGCTACCTGCACAACACTCACAACGCTTATTTAACCCTTTATTTATGGGAATCTCCATTGAAGCGCTCAGCTTCCCTTTGGATKGAGCCTCTTGCAGCAGCTGGGTCACCCTCCTGTTGTTTATTGCTTCCTCATTTCCCGGGCAGCAATTTGCCCCTTGAATTTGCAGAACACCCTGGCATTGCACTATAACCCCAGCAACTGCAATTTACCCCGTGCGGCTGCAACCTCCCCCCTGCAGGTGCAATTTACACCTCCAGAACTGCAGTTCCCGCCTTGCATTTGCCATATTTTCCCCTGGCTTTTGCAATACTTTTTCCTTGCATTTGCAATCATCYCCTCTGCATGTGCAATATCCTCCTCTGCAGCTGCAATTTGCCCCTGCGCTGCCCCTCCGCATCCCTCGAGCTTGCACTGCATGAGGGAGGCTTCATCCTGCACTTGCTGCGTTCTTGTTTTGCAACAAACTCCTTGAGCAAAACCACCACCGAGGCCACCGGCCCAACAAGCTACTGCGGGGCTTTTGCAGGATTTCAGAATTTCCTCTCGGAAATTTTTCATTTCTCCGCAGTTTCCATTTCTCCGCAGACAAGAAGGCCAGAATTAGCCCGAGGCAGGGTGGGGGAGAGGAAAAGCTAGTTTCTTTTCTCCTTGTTTCCCTTCACCCGATGAGGAAATGATATTTCCCCCCTCACACACACCCCTTCCTTTCTGCCTTCTGCGCCAGCTGGTTTTACGGCATTTTCCGCATGGACTCTCAAATCCGCTTTGCTGCCGGAGGTGGCGGGAGGAGTAAAAAATGATTAAATAAATGCAGCCATAGGAAATATTTGATAGATCTTATCAGTTAGGCACCGGATCTTATCAGTTAGGGCCAATACAGAGCGGRAAAAGAGGGGGAAACGGTGTTGGGGTGCGTAGGGAAAAGCAAAGGAGCAATTCCCATACTTCGGTCTCTGCTCCCAGGGGCGTTTTCCTGGCCCAGCGTCAGGAGGAGGAGGCCGAAGGCCGGGGAAATATTTAACCGCGGCGTTGGCGTCGTGAGGCCGTGCGGAGGCCATGGAGCCGGCGGAGGCCGAACGCCTGGGCCCGCTGCTGCTGCAGCGCAGCCAGGAGGCCAAGGTGGCTGCTTACTGCCCCTACAGCCGCTTCGCCGTGGGCGCCGCGCTGCTCACCGCCAGCGGGCAGATCTTCTCCGGTGAGTGCCCTCCATCTCTTTCCTTTCTCTCTCTCTCCTTTTTTCCCCCTCCTTTTTTATTTTCTGCTGGAGAAAACAAGAATAATTGCAAAATGCATTGCATAGGGTGCAATGTGGAAAACGCCTGCTACAGCCTGGGAGTGTGCGCGGAGCGCACGGCCATCCAGAAAGCCGTCTCCGAGGGGCACACCAGCTTCAAGGCCATGGCCATCGCCAGGTAAAGCTGCACCGTCACTTCTCTGGGGGGGAGGGGGTCCTGGCTTGGGGAACCCCCCCGCCAGGAGCCTTTTCCAATTGGAAACGTTCCGCCGGAGCTCCCTGCCTCCCTTCCTTCCCCTCTGGCAGCGACCATGAGGACAACTTCATCGTGCCCTGCGGCGCCTGCAGGCAGGTCATGCGGGAGGTGAGCGGCTTTTTCAACTCCCACCAGCTCCTCCCTCCTTCCATAAGCACGTCCCACGGTAAAATTCCCAGGGTTTTGACCCTGGCGCTGAGTTTTCTCCCTTTTTTTCCGCTGTCTTCTCCCCAGTTTGGCCGCGACTGGGATGTGTATCTCACCAAGCCTGACGGCACCTACATTGTCAAGAGGCTGGAGGAGCTTTTGCCGCTCTCCTTTGGGCCGGAGGACCTGAGGAAGCTGTGATTTGGGGAGGAACAATGGCAAATCGTTGCTCAGAAGAAAATCAAATGGAATCTCGATTCTGAATAAGGAGAGAAAACGAAAGGGAAAACCCCATTGGGGTTACTGAGGGCTCTTTGCTGTGGTCCAGGGGCAAGGCAGGTCAGAGGTTATTGCACAGAGCTGTTRGTGCCTCTGGCACTTGCGGATTGTAGGCGGCTGCTGCTTTTATTTTATTTCTCTTCCGAGATAAAAAAAGAGAGAGAGGGTTTATTTTCTGGCAGGGGGATTTGGAGGTAACATGGTGGGTTTCTTGTGCTAGAGTGATGCCAAATTGTGATTGTGCTGTTAGTGAAATGATGTGCAATAAATACATTAAAAAAAAAAAAAAAAAAGGTTATTTTTCCAGTTCCTGGCTGGTAAATGGGCAGCACCCTTGGTCGTGTGCCAGCTTTGCACCACCATGCACTGGCTGCGTCCCTTGCAGTGTCCTGAGTATGCACAGGGCCTTGCACAGGGGCTATGCACCATGCAACGTGCAGACTGTGCACAGTCTTGGACCTTGCAATGTCCTCACTGTCCACGGGGTCACGCACAGCGCTGTGCACCGTGCAACATTCTTACCGTGCACGGTGTCACGCAGTGCCCTAGCCACGCACAGGGTCACGCGCATGGCCATGCACCCTGCAATGACCTGGGTGCACAGACCCAATGTATGGCCACAGACATTGCACGGGCACGCGCTCCTGCAGCGCGCAACGCCCGGGCTACAGCGCGGCCCCACGCACCCTGCGCGCCCCGCCCCGCACTGCAGGCCCCGCCCCGGCCCTGCAGGCCCCGCCCCGGCCCTGCAGGCCCCGCCCTGGTACCGCAGGCCCCGCCCCGGCCCTGCAGGCCCCGCCCTGGTACCGCAGGCCCCGCCCCGGCCCTGCAGGCCCCGCCCTGGTACCGCAGGCCCC